GTAAAGTGTCTGTTTAAAATTTTGCCCAATTAAAAAATAGTGTTTTCTTCTTTTTATTTAGTTGTAAGAGTTTTTAGACATTCTTTATATATTCGACATGTATAAACACGTATTTTTAACAGCTTTATTAAGATACAGTTCACATACCATAGTTAACCCCTTAAAATATATAATTACATGGATTAGTATATTCACAGAGCTGTGCAAATATCACCACAATCTAATTCAGAATATTTTCGTCACCCCCAAAAGAAACTCACACCCATTAGTAGTCAGTCACTCCCCATTCTCTCCCCACCTCGAGCACTACACAGCCACTCATCTACTTTCTGTCTATGTCGATTTGCCTATTTTGGACATTTCATATAAATGAATAATAGAATATGTACTCTTGTGACTGGTTTCTTTCACTTATTAGGATTCATCTATGTTGTATAAGGTTGCATAGCATTCCATCGTATGGATATATTACCTTTTAACTATTTCATCAATTGATGGATTTGGATCGTTTACATTTTTTGGCTATTATAAGTAGTGCTGCAATGAACATTCATATATAGACTTGTAGATATGTTTTAAATGTCTCCTGGGTGTATGCACATACGTTTTGCAAATATTTTCTCCCCATCTGTGTATCCCATTCTGATTTTTTTTTCTTTTCTTTTTCTTTTATTTTTTTTTGAGATGGAGTCTCGCTCTGTCGCCCAGGCTGGAGTGCAGTGGCGGGATCTCGGCTCACTGCAAGCTCCGCCTCCTGGGTTTTCGCCATTCTCCTGCCTCAGCCTCCTGAGTAACAGGGACTACAGGCGCCCGCCACCACGTCTGGCCAATTTTTTGTATTTTTAGTAGAGACGGGATTTCACCGTGTTAGCCAGGATGGTCTTGATCTCCTGACCTCGTGATCCACCTGCCTCGGCCTCCCAAAGTTCTGGGATTATAGGCGTGAGCCACGGTGCCCGGCCCCCATTCTGATTTTCTTAATGGTATCTTCTTAACAGATTTACATTTTGATGAAGTCCAGTCCAACAATTCTATGATTCATGCTTTTAGTGTCTTATCTAGGAAACTTTTGTCTAACTCAAGATCACAAAGAATTTATCTTCCTCTAGAAGTTTCATAATTTTAGCTTTTGTATTTAAGTCTATAATCCATTTTGAAACAATTTTTGTACGTACTATGAGGTAAGAATCAAGTTCATATGGATATCTAATATATGAATATCTAATATCAGCATTGCTTTTTGAAAGGACCACCATGTCACCATTTAAACCTTGAAACATTTGGCAAAAATCAATTGACTATGTATATGTGGGTCTTTTTTCTACTATTATTTCTGTTTTCTTGATCTATATGTCTATTCTCACACCCAGTGCAACTTTGTCTTGATTACTGTAGCTTTATAAAAATCACTCCAGAAATCAGGTAGTGTAAATGTAAGTCCTCCAACTTTTTTTTTTTTCAAAATTGTTTTGCCTACTTGATGTCCTTTGCATTTCCATATAAGTGTAGAACCAGCCTGTCAATTTCTACAGTATGTTGCTGAGATTTTTAGTGCAATTGCACTGAGTCAATAATCTTGGGGGAGAATTGACATCTTAATGATATTGAGTCTTCTGATTCATGAACATAGAGTCTCTCTCAATTTTCGTTGCATCTTTAATTTCTTTCCAGCAACATTTTGTAATTTTCAGAGTACAGGTTTTGCCCATATTTTATTAAATGAGTATTTTATACTTTTGATATTTAAAAAATTTCCATTCTTATCACTAGATAGAATATGATTGATTTTTGCATAATGGCCATGTATCTTCTAACCTTACATTTATCTTTTCTAGTTTTTTGCGAATTCCTTGTTTTCTACACAGTCACTCTATCTGCAAATAAAGTTCTACTTATTTTTTCCCCAATGTGTATTTCTTTCATTTATTTTTGTCGTGTTGCCCTGGGTGGAATCTCCAGTATGATGTTCAATAAAGGTGTGAGAGCAGATATTCTTACCTTGTTCTTAATTTTAGGGGGAGAGCATTAAATCCTACACACTGAGTATGATGTTAACTATAGGTTTTTTGTTGATGCTCTTTATTAGGTTGAGAAAACTCCCTTCTATTCCTGGATTGCTGAGAACATTTATGGCTTGCTGTTGAATTTTGTCAGATGCTCCTTCCACACCTATTGAGATGATTGTTTTTTCTTTTTATGCAGTAAATACAGTGAATTACACTACAAATGGCCCCTGCCTTATGATGACTTGACTTTATAATCTTTCAACTTTATGATGGTGCAAAAGCAATACACATTCAATAGCAACCATATTTTGATCAAAATATTTTTTGATCAACCATAATTCTGATGTATTTTTGGGCTAGCAATATGCAGTACAATACTCTTGTGATGTTGCAAAGCAGCAGTGAGCCACAGCTCCCAGTCAGCCACGTGATCACGAGGGTAAACAACTGATACTCCACAGTGTACTGTGTTGCCAGCATTCAACACTTCCTTATAAAATAGGATTTATGTGCAATGTTTTTGCCCAACTGTGGGCTAATTATGTTTTCAGCATGTTTAAGTTAGGTTAGGCTAGGCTATGACGTTCAGTAGGTATACTAAATGCATCTTTGACATGGTATTTTAAACTTGTGATGGGTTTATTGGGCTGTAACCCCTGGGAAGAAGTATCTGTAACTGATTTTTGAATGCTTAAAAAGCTTGCACTCCTAGGATAAATCTCACTGGGTCGTGATGTATTTTCCTTTTGATGCATGGTTCAAATTGATATCCTAAATTTTGTTAATAATTTTTGTGTCCGTGTTTATGAGCAACATCAATGTGTAGATTTGTTTCTTGTAACATCATTGTCTGGTTTTGGTATCAGGTTAACGCTGGCTTTAGAGGCTGAAGAGGGAAGTGTTTTCTCCTCTTCAATTTTATAGATGAGTTTGTGTAGAATGGGTACAGTTATCTTCCTTAAATGTTTGGTAGAATTCACCAGTGAAATTGTTTGGGCTGCGAATTTTCTTTTTGGGAAGATTTTTAACTAGAAATGTAATTTCCATTGAAAATAGAAATTTAGGTTATCTATTTCTTCTTGAGTGCATGTTGGTAGTTTGAGTCAAGAAATATGTCATTTTCATCTAAGTTGACAAATTTACTGGCATAAAGTTCATATTTCCTTATAGGCTCTGTAATGATGTGCCTCTCTCAGTCCTGGTGTTAGTAATTTGTATCTCTCTTCTCCTTTCCTTGATCTATCTTGGTAGAGGTTTATCAATTTTAGTAATCTTTTAAAAAATAGATTCTGATTTCATTGATTTACTCTATTCTGTTTTCTGTGCCATTGTTATTATTTCCTCTTTCCTGCTTGGTTTGGGTTTAATTTTGTTTTAATTTCTTAAGATGGAAGCTTAGATAAGATTCAATCCTTTATTTTTTCTAATATAAGCATTTAATACTACACATTTTCTTATATTCACTGCTTTTGCTGCAAGCTACAAGTTTTGATATGTTGTATTCACCTCTAGCTCATATTTTATAATTTAGTTTTAACCACATCTGGGCTAATGTATTGTCAACTTTCCAGTAATTTGGGGGATTTTTGAGATACATTTGATTTACTGATTTCTAGTTTAATTCTTTGGTAATCAAATAAAATACTTTATTTGCAATTCTTTTACATCTGAGAGTTGACTTATGGCCCATAGTATGGTCCCTCTTCATGAATGTACCATGTGTTAGGAAAAAGGTGTGTATTCTGCTATTGTTGAATAGAATGTGAACTAGAGCAGAGGACAATGTTCACATATTGAATGTCCTAATATATTTTCCCACTGATAGGAAGAGATGAAATCTGTTCTAAGGTTACATTTTCATGTCAACATAATCACTGCACTTCAATAGTATCCTTTTCAAAGTTCTTTTTAAGTTTGCACAGATTTGAAAAATCTCATTCCCCATCCATTCTTTTCTACCAGGCTATGAAATGTATATTGGTCTTATATTTTCTAGTCATATGCTTCAAGGCGAAGCTTGAGATACTGTCAACTATTCTCATGTGGGATGTGATCCAGGCTAGATAAGAGCATGAATTTCAGGCTGAACATGGCGGCTCACGCCTATAATCCCAGTATTTTGGGAGGCCTAGGTAGGACGATTCCTCCAGCCCAGGAGTTCAAGACCAGGCTGGGAAACAGTGAGACTCCCTAACTCTCCAACAAACAAACAAACAAACAAAGACAGGGTGTATGCCTGTTGTCCCAGCTATTCAGGAGGCTGAGGTGGGAGAATCACTTGAGCCCAGGAGGTTTGAGGCTGCAGTGAGCCATGTTCACACCACTGCACTTCAGTCCAGGCAATAGAGCAAGGCCCTGTCTCAAAAAAAATAAAAAAAAGATGATGGATTTTGGAGTCAGATAAGCCTATGTTCATATCCTCATTCTGCTACTTAAGATGCATGTGTTCATGGGCACATGGTCTTTATTTGCATTTTTTATGAGGCTTTTGTGAACATTTTGATAGTAGTGAAATACCTGTGCATGGCATGAATAAATAATATATGGCCCTGCTAATATTTTTGTTGTGTGTCATATGAGGTAATACTGGGAAAGGTCCACATACATTTTCCTTCTGAAAACTTCTGATAATGCGTAAATTCCTTTATTAGCCATTTATCCATACATATCAAGCACTGCCCTCACTGAGCTTTATATTACAGCATGGATGCCTCCTAAGAGTTTATTCTTAGTTCCTAATCCTTTTCAGTGAATCTGTTTGTTGGTAGCTGCTCTCAGTGACAGGAGAAATCAGGCAACATGGTAACAAGCACCTAGGAATGTGGGGTCCTAGAAAAGGAAGTGAATTCTACAAAAGGAGATCCGACTAGGATTGGTCCTATCACTTCTATTGGAGGTAGTCATGTCCACAAGCCAGCAAATACCTGTGCCATATACCATGAGGTTAAGCACCAGGAAGACACTTAGAAATACACTTTCAAAAAATCAAAATAGTAAGGCAATAGAAAAAGAAGGCATAATTTATTATGTCTATTATGACTAATGTTTAATAAGACTTATAAGAAAATTATTAGGATCATTTAACATATATATTCTGGAATTAGAAGCAAAAAAAGTGAGAACATAGCTGAGCCCGCAAAACATGCAAATTATATTTTAATTCAACAAATATCTATTGTCCCAACTTGTGCCAGGCACCCTGTTAGGCAGTGAGGAATGAGAGTGACTGTGACAAACGTGGTTCCTGTTCCTAGTGGGGAAGGAACAGAAATAATAGTATCAGAGGTATGATGACAGAAGTGCAGGAGCCGAGAGAGTCCTAAAGGCATCTAAACCCAGGCTTCCCTGAAATGACCTGAAGCATGAGATGTGGAGGATTAAGGATTTCAGGAAGAAGGAGCAATCTGTGAAGAGGTTTTGTCAACTCTGACCTCTCCAGAAACATTTAGCCACAAGAAAAATCCATAATTTAGTGGAGACTGTCTAAAACATTTAGTGTTACCCATATTCAGCTCAAGATGAATCAAATGCAGGATGACAACGTACCCCATTTCACAATTTTCCAAAGAAAATACTGATAATGATGAAAAGAATGACAGCAGTTCAGGCTTGTTGATGCATTTTATTGTGAGATGGGGGGAGTCTGGTAAAAAACTAGAAAATGACCATGATGTAACAAGGAACTTAAAAATGAAGAGTCAGATCTGTAACTTACATACATGAATACAGGAACAAATTGGCACAAAATGTTAAACATTGTTCCCAACACTGTTTATAGAAGGTAATCCTAATTTGGCTTACTAAGGAAATGAGAGTTTTATGGTTAGGCTAATTTCTTAATAAAACTGCAGAGCATCATGCTATTAGTCACACAGTGAATTTCAAAATTTAAGTTTTATATTAAAAACTGGGTAAAGGTAAAATGACTTGATTGTAGTTGTAAAACTAATACATTCCCATTTAAGTTCTGTTCTACAGTCCAAGGCAAGTATAAATGTTAACATAACACTGTTAAATCAAATCTCAATGCAGGAGAACCAATTGCATCTCTACTTTAAATCTTATCAACTTTCCAAATTTTCATACTAAAATATATTATTGTATTAATACAAACTACAGTATTATACACTACACTGTGTAATAAATAAAGAAATATAAAAATAAGACACATAAATATAAAAGTTTTCTAAAACTAAAAGTACATATGTCAGTAAGAAGGGTATTAATACTGCCAGGTTTGAAGACATACAGTACAAAAATGTTGCACAGATCTATAAACTAAAAGAAATAAAATAATACTGATAGGTAAAAATCAGCTAATGTTGTTAATAAATTGGGTCCATAATAACTAACATTTGGAAACAGTTATGAGTCAAATAGCAATGGCATGTCCATGTCTGAAATGCAAGTACATGGATAAAGCAGATTAGAAAATTTCCCTTTCGTTTCTGTAGAGAAATTCTGAAAGTCAATTAACATAAAATCAATACTGAGGAACTGAAGGGATGAAATATCCCAGTGTTTCAGTTTCTCTGACAGAGTCAGTGGTTTTAAGTTTTATTTGGGAATTTTGATACAACAAACAAATCAACAAATGCTAGTTATTGTAGGCCACACATTGGATGAAGGCGGGTTAGAGCCTTGAAAATACTGAGAAATGGCACTTACAGCACACAGGTCTTGCTTAAGGCCAAAGGAGATACAAAGCTTCATGTCATATCCTTCATATGTTACCACATATTCAAACACAATCACAAACACTGATTCTGACGATTTTGCTGTCCTTACCAGATTAACACTGTTAGTCCCTGCAATCAGAACTCAATGGCAATCTTTTGAACTCCATTTTAAACCACATGAGTAAGAAACTTCAGTTCTTCTATCAGCTGCTTTCTTAAGGCTAACAATACACTTTAAATGATAATACGCTCTACTAAGACATCTAAATATTAGAAATTACTACCTTCTAGATTGAATTTATAAAAGGTAGTTAGCACGGGTTGGAACTACATTATACTTCTCTGTGAAGGGAATTTTGTAGTGCAGAAGTTCTCACATTTTAAAAAACATAATAAAATACTGAAGCGGATTTAGCATATGTTTACCAATAAAAAATTATAAAATTTCTCCCAATTGTACAGCTTAAGAATAAACCAACATAAGAGTGATAATTAATACTGATAAGATAAAACAATGCCAGATGCATATCTAATTAATCAGCTTCCTTTAACCTCTTATATCGTTGCTCTCTGAGTCATTAAGGTTTTCTAAACTGCTGCATGTTACAAACTTGTTCCTAACTTTGAAAACTGCATGAAAAATTACTAGGTCTGAGGTTCAGGCACACCCGGATTTATTTTGTGTGTGTGTGTGTGTGTGTGTGTTTGTTTTTTTTTTGTATTTTGTATTTTTTTAGTTTTTACTTTACACAGTAGTGAACAGGAATCACAGCATACAGGTTACTGTGTTTCCATGAAAAGCAAGGATAATATTGAACAAAATTCATTATCAATTAGAATTTATTTTCCTTCTAGAAAAACGATCAGGCTTCATTTGTCTTTTCTTCAGACACTTGCTCACTACTCTCGCTTACTTTTTGTCCTAAGCTGCTTGCTTGACTTTCAGCCCTGTCATCCTTCATCAGACCTTCAGGTTTTGCTGCTTCTCCCTCATTCTCTGCATCTTCTACCTCTTCTTCTTCCACTTCTTCTTCCTCCTCCTCCTCTTCCTCATCCCCTTGTGGTTTTTCACATTCTTTTTCTTCCTGCAATTCTTCCATCTCTTTATCCTCCTCCTCTTCCTCTTTTTCACTGTCTTCATCGTCTTCCCTTGTCAAACTCTCTCTCTCGTCCGAGTCGCCCTGTGAGGGAGATGCCCTGGCACCCACATGCTCATTCGAGAGGATTTCAGGCCCTGCCTCTTCCTGCTCTGTGCTGTCACGTTCTTCCGCTTCTCTCTTACAGTAGGAGTAGCGATGATTCATGTGTTGAGAATAAGACCCAGAGTGTGAGAAGCGCTTTCCACATTTGTCACATTGATAGGGCTTTTCTCCAGAATGTAATCGCATGTGTTCAATCAAATGATGTTTGTGTTTAAATGCCTTTTTACAGATTCCACACTCATGAGGTCTTTTACCTGCAAAATAAGAATTCTGTTAAATAAAATGGTGGTATTCAGCAAATAAAATCCTTATATGGTTTTTGGGGTACTTCAGGTTGTAGAAAGGGGAGGGTTGTTAGTTTCATTTTTAAAACATTTCCAGGTCCCAAACTCTTTGTAATATAATACTGCAATTTGTTCTTTGCATTAAAAAAGTAGTGCTCTACACTCTGCTGTGCAGTTGATTAGGTCAATGGGAGCTACATGAGACTGAAATGCCAAAAATACAAGCATCATGACGGCGAGGTGGAAAATGGGCCAAGTGCAGCTGGGAGTAGATGTCTGGTAGTGAGTGAGCATGGTGAGGGCAGGCAGGGACAGACGTGCTGCTCACCTTGTGTTCTTCATTATCACTACCAGTGAGGTCCCTAAAAAGTCATTTTTTTTTTCCTAGTCACAAGCTCTGCCCCCAATGAAATTTTAATGTTTACTATATACTTTTTATATATGATAAAACTCATAAATATACATTGTATATGCTGAGCTTCTTTAGAAAACCACAGCCATTGTAGTATCTCAGATTTTTTTGCCCCCTAAGAAACAAGTTTTGGCCCGTGAGGGCAATACTGCCCCTCCTGAGAACGCATGGGCTAGAGGAGTGTTGCTGCGCAGACACGAAAAGGACTGGCAACAACAGATCACAGTCAGGATCGAGAATGTCCAATGTCAGAGCTATCAAGCAGGTAACACTAACAAATGCAGAAATGATTTTTAATTTTAGAAACAGTGTAGTTTTTCATATATATTTTTCACTTTGATAATTGCTAATATTTAACTTTGCCTGAAGAGGAAGGGGATTTTCTAACTTTTCTTAGATCTCTGAGAACCAGAGGACTGAGTTACAAGGGGCTGGTTTTGAGAGGTGTGACTTTCTGTTATGTAACACTAGTTTTTAGCTCCAAGAACCTCCCAAGTGTCACTGTATGAATCCACAGATTGAAGAAGGAAAAAACAATTTTATCTTTTCTCACAAGAGTAAAAAATACACTGAAACCATTTAAGAATATGAAAGATAAATATGGATACTGTAGTCATAATGGCTGGTAGTGGGGGCAGGGAAGAGCAGGTAGGGGATTAAAGAGCTCAGGATGAATCCAGCCCCTTCTACAGCAACCCATGTTAGAGAGACACAGGACTGTGCTGGAGCCAGTTTGTACTGGCTGGAGAGTCTATTGCTAAATTTTCAGGAATTCTGCAAGCTGATTGATATCACATTCAAGTTTGAAATCCACCATGATCGGAGTATTTATGCCGCAAAAAGCTGCAAACACCACAAATCAGGGCTTCCTCACCCTTCAGAGAACCAGGTGTTAAAATTTATCAGTACTTCACTGATGGAAGGAATGAAATAGGCCGGGAGTTGGCAACTATTTTCCGTAAAGGGTAGTGAGTATTAAAAGGCTTTGCAGGCCAAATGGTCTCTGTAGCAGCTTCTCAATCCTGCCATTGTAGAACAGCATGAAAGGTGACATAGACAAAATGTAAATGAATGGGCGATGCTGTCTTCCAACTCATTTTATTTAGGGACGCTGATATTTGACTTTCACATAATTTTCGTCAGTCATAAATACTCTTTTCATCTTTTTCAATCATTTAAAAACGTAAAAACAAAAACAAAAACGACCATTCTTACCTCACAGGCCTTAGAAAAACATGGGTATGCTCGCCTTTGGCCTGTGTGCTATAGTTGCCATCCCTGAGTCAATCTAAGGAGGCATATTTTGTGGCAGAATTACAGGATCTCAGAATTACAGGATCTTAGAATCTTCTAGTCCAACCTCTTAGGCAGAACTTCTTACTTAAAACAAAAGATCTTGACTTGCCAGGACAGCTTGCTGCACACTTATGAAGAAGCAGCTTTTTCTTTTATGAAGCCAGATCCTGTCTTCCTATGACTTTAGCCCACTGGTCTCATATTTTTTATTAATGGGTACTATGTACTGTTTTTATTAATATAGCATAAGTTTGCATTAAATGAATGTGGACGTAATAAATGCTGTGTCAGCTTAAAGGAATTAAGTCATGGGAAAAAAAAACAACAACAAAAAACAGATGAAGCAAAAAACCAAAAGGCCCAGACCTTAAGTACTAGGTAGAAGTGGGCAAACAGGTGAAAATGGCCAGATCAGAGAAGTAAAAAATAAGAAAATTAACTCTGGGTTGAGCGTGGTGGCTCATGCCTGTAATCCCAGCACTTTGGGAGGCCGAGGTGGGTAGATGGCTTGAGTTCATTAGTTCAAGACTAGCCTGGGCAACATGGCAAAACCTGTCTATATAAAAATTGGCCGGGTGCAGTCGTATGTGCCTATAGTCCCAGCTACTGAGGAGGCTGAGATGAAAGGATGGCTTGAGCCCAGGAGACGGAGGTTGCAGTGAGCCAAGATCAAGACTGTGTGCCACTGCACTCCAGCCTGGGTGACTAGAGCCAGACCTTGTCTCAAAATAAAATAAAAAAATAAAAAAAAAAAAAAGAAGAAGAAAGAAAATTCTAAAACTTTAGTTTTTAATTTTGCATCTTCCAGTATATCACATCATGGACACTTTTGAATATGTTTGTGTTCACTGACATACCTGTGTGTTCATATTTATGTCTCAATAATGAACTACTCTTTTGGAATATCTTATCACACAAGTCACAAGCATACATTCCATTTTCTGTCTTCCGCATTTTCTTTTTGGGTGGTGTAGAATCAGAGTCATTCTGATCCTCTACATTTGATACTCCTTCTGAGCTAGTATCTTGTCTTTCATCCTAGAGGAAGAAAGGTGTGAGAAAATTTAATTTAACATTAAAAGATAAACAAGAGATATACATAAAAGTATGAGATAAAGAACTACTTTAACTTATACTTTTATACTTTCAAGGACTTGACCAAAGCAAGTACACTGATCTTCACTGCACATGCGCCCCAAGGGTGGGGCCAGATCACAGGTGGAGGTGACAAGGACAAGAGTGAGGTTGGGGATAACACGGTCAAAACTATAGCAAAGACATATACTCAACTGGTACTGGAAAGAAAGCAAGGACACCCGAAAGAAAACATGTAAAATATATAGTAACAGAGTTTATCTGGTTTCATGTAAATCATTACTTTACGAGAAATTTGCAGGTTTTAACTTATTAGTTTGCTAACTAATCACTCATTACTAACCGCATCAGTTGCCTTCATTTTTTCATTCTGGGTTTCACTAAGCAAAAGTTAACATTCTATTTTTAAAACCTGGTCTTTCAATTGTATCCTCCAGAACTTCAGGGTTCTTTAACCTCCACGGTCTCTTTGAAAAGAGAGGTGTGCTCTACCACTTGTCTAAGGAGCAAGATGGAAAAACAATGCAGGAGGGTCTTTTTAACAGAAATAATTGCTAGTCAAAATGAACCTTTAGAATTCCAGGGCGATAAAAAGAAACTCCAGGCAGTCTCATGGAGATGATTTTGGGCAGCACGTTCTTATGTAAGCCGAATAACCCTGCAGGGAGCCTGTTGTGGAACTGGGTCCCCTAAGATCTTTCTACCTTATCTAGAGTGTTCCATGCCATTGCCTCAAACCCACAAATTTTCTAAAAGTTGAAGGTTTTTCACAATATTTCCTATGGCTTTATGAGGCAAGAGAAGTGCAGCCATTTGTTCCTGTGACTTGTGAGTGGCCCCGGTGCTGAAGTAACTTGACTCTCACTGCTATTTGATCTAGTCACGTGACATGTGATTCTATATGAAATGCTAAGGATGGCTCTTTTTCTATTCAAAGGCATTCAAAGTGTTCTGTACACTAAAAATTTAGAGGAATTCAATGATCATGGAAGAAATTTTTTTCAAGAGTTATCACAAATACAGGAAACCCAGTCAGTAGCAATATTTAAGGGAAAAGCAGCAAATACACGTTTGAGCAGGATATTGAAATTATTATACTTACAGAAAATATTTGCATAAAATATCAAATTTGTCTCTAGTATTCATTTGATTCCATCACAAATTGATGGAAAAATGGGAAAACACCAACATCAGTGACATGGAAAAAGTCTGGACAATGAGGCATACAATAGCTCTATCCAAAACTATTGTGGGTTTTGGGGTAAGACCAGTTCAAGGGTTCTTCCTGGACAGAATAAACACTGTTCTCGTAAACACTAGTGATAGTTAAGGAGGAAAATGCATACATATTTTTAGGTTCACAGCCACACTTCCTCATATACATTATGACTGAACACTGTTTATGCACAGTTCATAAAATGATCAGTAAATTCACAAGATGCGTTCTTTGTATACTTCATTCCTGTTTAATTAAAATCTTTTATAAACAGATGTATTAGTATATATAAGTGATAGATAAGTTTGCCTGGTATGAACCTGTGAATGGGAACATATTTTCATTTATTAATGACCACAATCAAGGCAGAAACTATTACTAATTCAGGAATTTAGCTATACAAACAGAAACCCAATTAGTGAGTATTTCAATTTTGTTTTTTTATTTCTAACTTCAAACAGGTTTTTAGCTGAGACTTATAAATCATCTTTCACAATAGTATAGCATTTCAAACTTCAAGCTGGTAACAATACCCTGGATTAGCAAACAACCAACTGAAGACATCACGCCAGAAAAGTTAAAGCAGACATTGATCCTTTTAAAAATGACCTAGTTGGCTCTACAGGACTGATATTTATTAGACAAACTTAATTGAAATTAATCAAATAGCATTTTACTAGCCAGGTTCAGGACTGGGGGTTTTTACCTGATTTCCATTTGGCTGGATCACTTTCAAGGGTGGTTCTTGGACTGCAGAGCTGACTGTAGTTGAGTATGTGTATGCCACCTGGGGAATCAGAATCGTTTGCTTATTGGCAGCTAGTGCTCGTAAGCATGGAACACTGTTCTGGTCAGCAATGGCCACGATTGTGGGTAACTGGGCAGTGACTGTAGGTATAGCGATATTTATGGGGTTGGCACTTGGTGGGATTACATTTACAACTGGTTCTGAGTCTGTAACACAACTGTCCTTTTGTGGCTCCTTTTTTGCGCAAGACAAGTTCAAGGGTTCTTCCTGGACAGAATAAACACTGTTCTGGTAAACACTAGTGATAGTTGACCTTTCTAATAATTCTCCCTGTTGCTTTGGTAGTGAAAGATCAAGAGGTTCTACTTGTGGCTCTTCTTGTGCACCCTCAGCTGTGTACAAGTAACCCTGTGTATTTCTGGATGAGGAAAGGTTTAGAGGTGATGGGGATGGTGTACTACTTCTGGAACCATTGGTGGTTGATCCCACTGGTAAAACTGGGGAGTTAGTCATCTTCAAAGGACTTTGTAGGTTTACTGTGCTGTCCTGGGGTTCATTTGCATTTGCAGATTGAGGCTGATCATTGTTCTTGGAAGGGATATTTACTTTGCCTGGTTCAGGAGAAGATGGTTCAGAAGACTGCACTGAAATCTGTCCAGCTTGCATCTTTTCAAACCACTTTTTTACTACATCCAGTGGTAGGTTTACTGAATCAGCAATTTTTGAGAGCTCTTCTGCACTTGGTTGTGCATTCAAAGCATAATATGCTTTTAGGAGAGACAAGAGGTTCTTTAAAGGTGGCTGACTGGGAGATAAATTGCCATCTCCAGTAGCTGATGAAACAGAGGACTCAGGTTTCTCAGCTTCTGCTGCAGGGAGTGGAGGAGGCTGAGTAGGCTGCTTTAGGTCATAGTGCTTTAATTCTGGAAGTGCATTAATATCTCCTGGACAATCATCACACAGAAGACAAGTGCTATCATTCACCCCCCCTTCAAAGCTTTTGTCCTTCTCAGACTTAACAGTAAGATCTTCTGGTAACTTTTCACTTTTACAACTGTTTGTAGCAACTGGATTTTCTTTTTTTAAATTTTGAGGAACAACTTGAAGTTGGCTAGGCTGCTCAAGACTATAGTTGATGATAATTTTGGTTGTTCCATCTTGATCAACCAAAGGAAGACTGATGGCTGAAATAACAGAATGGCCACCTTGTTGTATGGGTGAAGCATTGATTGTTTCTTGTTCTTTGGATGCAAGATTGGCTTGATTATTCTCCAACACTTGTCGTATTACATTACCATCTACTGCCACTTTAAGTACATTCTGAATATCACTTAAATTGATACTTATGGGAGACACCAAACCAACTGTTGGCAGAACAACAGCTTGCACCACGCCCTGAGGAGAACTGGTTGCCTGTAATGGGCCACCACCAGTGAAAACCCCATTTTGTAAAGGGGTTGAACAGTTGATTCCTGAAGCAACCACTATGGGTTTGAATTCATAATCCACAGGTTCAGTTTTAATTTGGTTAACAGAAAGCTGTTCCTGAAGGGGTTTATTCTCTATCTTTTGCCGTATCTGTGGTCGTGTGGGACTGCCTGGTGATGCTGAAAGAGACGGTGAAGAACACTGAGATGTCTTGAGTCCTGTTCTTGGTCGCCCATTCACAGGTATCAAGCTGATACATTTCTTACTGCTTATGTGTGAGCTATAGGAGCCAGAATGGGAAAAGCGTTTCTTGCAGTTTGGGCATTCATATGGCTTCTCTCCTAAACAAACAAAAAAATTATATTCACTGAATTATTACATATAAATTTTTATGTATCCTCATTTCCCTAAAACAAGCGATATCGATTTTAAAAAGAAGACTGCCATGCATGCTTGTGAGAGAATTTTATTTAGAATCATCCTTTTAGCTTCAAAACCTATATAAATGTGATGAACGCTAGTAACTTAGTCTCAGGTACATGTTCTGCTAACCAATCATGGAATCTTCGCATATGTGTATAATATTTCTGCCAACCTTTGTAACTTCAAATAATTCTCAAGTACCAAAAGTAATTACATTCTACTCTTTCAAGTATGTTTTTTCTTATTCCGTTTCACCAACCTATATCATTTTCTATATTTTACTTTATTCAACAATCTGTAGGAGAAACATTAAAGAAAAATAAGTAAAATGTTCCTTATGACTTAACAAGTATCAATATCTATCTTTGATTAATAAAAATTCCTGTACCCATAGGGCTTTCTTGAAAATAGTTTTTCCCTAATGGGAGGAAAATTTTAAATATAAGATATTCTATAAGCATTGGCTTATTAAACTGGAATGTATATACCCCCAGGATAAACACTGTAGTGGGTATCAAAGTATCTTGGAGTTTCAATTTTAGTGACAGTGGGTATGATAAAACATTATTTTTATACTAGAACACAGAAAAACACATTTGTGTGACTTGCTAGGAAAAGCCATGCACTGTCAAAGTAGCCTTGGCTTGCAGAGGCTTCCCTCAAGCTGCTTCGCTAGACTCTGTGGGGTACAAGGCATTTATTCTCCTTGGCTGTTAGGGACACTTTGGTAGAAAATTTTGAAAGCACTGAGCTAAATGGAATATTTTCCTACAAACCTAATGTTTCCTTTGAGTTTTAAGTTATAGTTACAGTTCGCTAATTTATAATTTAAAGGTTACAGACTATAAGCTCCAGTAAGGCAGAAGCCTCTGAGGCTTGTTTGCCATTTATCCCTTGCACCCATCAAAGCACAGGTTGCAAAGATGCCCATTAAACCTTTTTTGGATGAATGAATGCCTAATTGTTGAATGATGAGATGTGATGAGATGTGATGTCTACTAAGTATGAAAATAAAACTCTCCACCTCCTGTTCTTTTTAAGAATTAAAATGAAAGCAGTGAGGAAGTCAACTTAAGCCCTACTAACAATAGCTTCAATAGTAACTTCAATGCTAAAATGTGTTTAAAATGTGAGTTATATTTTCTAATAAATATGATTATTTGAAGAATCAAAAATAAGAATTGGAAGAGATTTAAGAAGCCCTGTAGTACAGCCTCCTTTTCAATGAAGAGTTCATTTCATATCATTCTTGACACTAGCTCATCTCTGCTTGAGCTTCTTTAATAAAAGGGGAGTTAGGTCCTGCTGGACAGCCCTGCACAAGAGGGTCCTGTCTGGTTCTGCTGAGGTCCATGGATTTGGGTTCCAATCCTGGCTCTATCACATACTATTTTCTTAAGCTTTCCAAGCCTTAGTTTTTCAATGTGCAAATGCAGATACATTCTCATTGGACTGTCATAGGGGTCATATGAGATTATATAGCAAAACTCTTAGTATGCTCTCAACAAATGCTAGTCACTTTTTAAAAAGGCAATTCTACTAAGAGACAGGCTGAGTTTCAGCCAAAGTCGGCTTGCTATGATGCCTAGTTCCCTATCCTAGGTTTGTCCTTCTGATGCCACACAGAACAAGTGTAACTTTTCTTCTCAAGTCAAACCTTCAAATGGATCAAGAGCTGCTTTATGTATTCTTAAACTTCTCTTGTGTAGGTTAAATATAGCTAGGTCCTTCAAACATTCTGCACAGGATGTGGTTTTTAGAACCCTTACCTGCTTGTTAACCCACCTCTGGAGATTCTCCAATTTATCAATATTTTTCCAATGCGATGCCTGGAATAGGATTCAATTCTCAAAATACATCAGACAAAAGTTTCCAGTGGGGGTAAAACAAGGAATATACTCTAGTATATCTCTATTTTAACACTTTTAATTACTTGATAACATTTTTACATGAACTACATGCTTATTTTCCTTCTAGAGACACAGACTTCTAGATAATACAGACTATTTCATTTTTTAAAACAGAGAGACAGAGAAGAATGGTAGGTAAGGGAATGACTATGGGTCAGGATGACTACATCACAGCCCTAGCTTTGCCATGTACTACCTGAGTGACCCTGGACAAGTTAATTAAGTCCTCTGAGCCTCAATTTTCTCATCAGTAAAAAGAAGAAAATAATAAAATCTACTGCATAGGTTTATCCTGTGGACTATATGAATGAATGCATACAAATAACTAACATGTGGCTGTACATAGCTAAGGGTCCAATAAGTGCTAGTTATCATTATTATTGTTAAAAATTATCTTGATATTTTATCATTGCCAGAAAGAAGTTTACACAACAATTATTCTAAAGCCAAAGTCACTATATTTGTTATAAAACTCCTTGTTTCTAGCTTCATAGCTTTATAGTTTATAGCTTAGGCATATCACCTAATTTATCTATCGAGGTTAGGGTTTACAAATAGTTTAGCCTGAAGGTTACATCAGGAAGTTTTACTACTCAACGTTTGGTATGCTATGTATAATGACTTTTTTTTTTTTTTTTTAAATGGCTGAGGTGGGTGTTTGGCTGCATCTGATATAAAAATTTTCCAGGCAAAAATTACTAAGACCACGGAAAATTATTTTTGAGGGTGGATCACAGCCATGTGCAGGTGTTCTTTTGTCTCTAATCTGAGTGGACGTCTGGTGGCCTTTTCCTCATGAGAGCTCAATTCCTATGTGAAGAATCAACTAATTATCAACACACATGGTTCGGCATAGGGTCATGCTCAAAATTTTTTGGGTACCAGTATTTAGCAACAATATAGGAAATTTTAGGGGGCATAATTTTGGATCCTGATTCTTAACATCTTTTAAAAGTCATGTGAAAAGAAAGTTATGGAGGTTTCCTAAAGGATATTCAGCTCATCCATTATTAGATACTCCAAGCAGAACTTTTCAAACTAATTGTGGTGAACGACCGATTGGTTTTGTTTGGTTCTTTTTTAAGTTTCCAATCTACTGTGGACCAATATTTTATAAAATACAGTAAAATGTCTCAAAGTCTTGGTATAATAAATGCTAAATGCTTACTCTCATTTTCTGTACTTATCTCTTCAAGAATGAGTAACACATGGTTTGCAGACTGGTACCAATCCTGAGCTGACACTTTGGGTAGCCTTTGCTCAAAAATCTTCTCTTGGAATAAACCAGACCATCAGAGAGCTGTGTACTTGAACTGTATCTACGTGGTCACCCTGGAGCAATGCTTTTCCTAAATCGCACTTTGGTGATCTATGACTGGCTTCTATTGAATAATCTGATTTAAAAAAGAAACCCTATCAAATTCTCTGCTGTGTTATTTTAAGAATATTTCTGAGGATTACATAACTTCTGTTTTGTTCTTTTCTCTTTATGTTGTTCCAAGGAATAACATTTTCTATGGACTTGGTATCAGGAAGGAGTAGTCCTTTTTCTAGCAACTGATCTTTTTTTTTACTTACAGACACCCTGGGTCTTGGTTACTGATTGTCGTTTTCTTACTTCCTAAACCTTAGAGCTTAATTTGTGGTCTACTTCCAGCATACGTATGGCATTTCTCAGCATTCATTTTTTCCCCCACAATTTACTTCATGTTAGTCTTTCTTAATTTTTCTTACATATTTTTAAATTAAAATTACTTGCTATGGTAAAGGTATACAAGCTTCACATTCGATGTTTCAAAAACAAGACAGAAATAAGTACATAATGAGTGGACAGTGCAGAGTACAGTGGGAGCTTTGTGTTCCATGATCTGGCCTAAATTTGCATTAGCTTTTGAGCAGTAGCAGCATACATTCAGCTCATATTAAGCTCTGGGCCATTCAAATTTACTACTTGATTGAGACTGATTTTTAAATACCAATGCTTAACTTTCAACTTCTTATTTCTAGACCAGTATTTCAATCCTTGTTCTGATTTATACTTCCCAACTTTGTATTATTTATAGATCTGATAAATTTTCCTCTACGACTGCACTATGACAAAATGAATATGACTCATTATATACATGAATCTTACTGTTAACTTTATCTTCCTTCCTCTGCCCTGATTTCAACATTTGAAAACCCCTCTTGAAATTAGCTATATCTCTATTAACAACTTTAAATCATCTCTGGTAAGAAGTTAGGTTGTTAAAATATATTATTATTGATAAAAACTGTTCAATAGCATAGGAGCTAAGAAATAGGATATTGTGGCAGGCTGCAAAAGACAACCTCTACTTTTTAGAAACATTAATCAATGTGTGAAAATAAATGTTTTGGTAAGGATCTTGGTTTGAGCATTTTCAAGTGGTAACTTCAGCACATTTAACACTGAGGGTTAGCTTTAATGAGCAATACAGTAAAACTTTTAGAAATGCAGTTCCAAAATAAAACATAAATATCACCAACTACGCTTCACAAAGCTATCCAACTATACTTTTTTTGTAAGAAGATGTTTGTAAAATGTAAATGTCAATACATAATTTTCACAAAATAAGCAATGTGTGAGCACCCATAATTTCCCATTCATGGTTAATAATTTTTGCATTAAAATTATTTAAATCTAAAATAACATATCAAAATTTATTAGATGGACAGATTTCATAGCGCATCATGGGATGCTAGAGAGTTTTCCTTTTCTGCTTTTGTTCAAGTAGAGTCTCCAAAGAAATATAAACATAGCTCTCTGTTTACTCTGAGTTCCTAAAATAGACACAACACTTTCATCACATAATAGTATTAACCTTGTAAGTAATATAGAGAATGACATGGAATAGACAGGTGAAGATGGTGGGTGAGCACATTTTTCTTTTAGATTCTCATTAATGCTGTAATCCTTTCACCCCCTCTCATTGCCTCCATATCATCTCTCCAATATTTTCTAATCTTGAGTTCCATTTCTACTTCTCTCAAATAAAGGACATCCTTCACTTCCCTATTTTCTTGTGCAAATCGTATCTCTATACTCTTTTCCATTCCCCTGTTAATTGTGCAAAGGAGGCAATGACATTTACATTCATCAGAAAGTTAACGTGTTTTCAGGTTGTACTTACTAAAACATGCTATATTATCTTCTCATTAGGAAATGTGGAGTATGTCATACTATATTAATTTGATATACTTTAGTCAAAGGTTAAGACTCTAATAAAACAGAAAATAAACATACAATTTCTCCCTATTAGTGTATGCCAAAAGAAATGCAAGGAGTTTCTGATCATGTACGTAGATCACATGTTACGATATTTATTTATTACCACATATGCTGATATTCAGGGTGTAGAAAGAAAAAAAAAAATATTTACCACTGTGAATTCTTAAGTGCTCTTTTAGGTGGTGTTTGTATTTGAAAGCTTTTCCACACTCAGTGCACTTGAATTTACGATTACACCCAGACTGCGTCACATGTCTCTGTAAGAAAAGAATTGGTATTTTATTTGTAAAGCAAAAGATTTTTAGACTAAAGAACATCCAATCTGCTAAGAGTAACATTTTTGTGAGCCTGATGGTTGTTTTGTTCCTTAGAGACCTCAAATTGCAGCAGTCACAAAAATCCACCTCTTGAAATTACTAGCAGTTGTAGCAGTCACAAAAATGTAACTCTTGAAATTATTACCAAAAAGGATAGTGACAGTGGGGACAGAATTTGATACAGAAAAACATCAACTTTCTAAAGCATCAGAGTTCATCCTTTATTAAGCAATATTCAAAATTAGCAAAAATAAAGTAATATATACTTTGCTAGGAACTAGAGGTTAATTTGTTTGCATTCCAATTTATAGATATAGAAATCACATCCACAAATACTGAATAACCTGTTTAAAACTCACTCAATAGAACAAGGTCCTGAAGAGAAGACAGGCTTTTCCCTGTACTTTATCCTGTCTTTTCCATTTGATATTTCCAAAAATGTACTTTGATGATTAAAAAGATACTTCTAGTTTTTTCAGCCAAATGGGGATTATTATAATAGCTTTCTGTCTGGTTTATCAAATTCCCATTTTCACATATTTCAAATGTGTTCTTCATACCTAGATTAATCTTACAAAAGCACTGCTTGAATTGAATTCTATCAACTCCTGCTCATAAACCGCTGAAGGATCCCCATTAACCCCTCAATAAAGATTCCGAGTCTATAGATTCCAAGATTTTAGTCCCTGAGTTTCCAAGATGATTTTTCACCAGTTTTTTATGACAAGTCCATGTCTCAGTCATTTGCGAGCCATGGTTTCCTGCACACATATTGCTCCTCTTTATCTTTTGGCTTTGGCTTACATAATTCCTTACTCCTTCACTGTGTTTTCCCATAATTTTGACTACTAAGATTCTACCCATCCTTTAACGGCTTAACTCAACTACTGCTTCATGCTCTCCCAACTGGAATCTCCCTTCCTTTGCCTTTTATACAGGAAGGAAAGAGAATTAGTACTTACTTTGAATCAGGTCCCACTTCATTAAAACCCATGACTTAAAATACCAAATATATGGTGACAACTCCCAAATTTGTATCTCTAAACCTCTCCCCTTAACTCCAGACTTTTACAACCTACTGCTTCTTTGATATTGCCAGTTGGAAGGTGACAGAGATATGAAACTTTACATGATTAACACCAAACTCTTAATTTCCCTCCTACAAGCCAGCCCCTTCTCTAGTATTTCCCATCTCTGTGAATAGCACTCTCATTCATTTGGTTATAGCTTAGGCCTTAAACTTTGGAGTTATTCTTGATTACCCTCTAACTCATGTACCCTCACCCAATCCATCAGCAAGCATATGAACATATTCTGAAGCCAACAATCTTATTTATCTGTCTGCCACCAAACTCTCTGGCCTAGATTACAGCAAAAGCCTCTAAATGTTCTCCCTGCTTCCGTTCTTGTCTCTCTTATCTATCATCCAACAGTCAGTGTTCCCCTAAAAATAAAAATTAAAAATTCCAGGATCCTTGGCAGGCTTCCCCACTGCACTTGAGAATACAATCCAAAGTCTTTATCTTGGCCTACAAATCGGCCTATAATATGTAGCCCCCAGCGCCTCTCTGGCCTTACCTTTCTCCCTTTCACACTGGCCTCTGCTGTTCTCAGGGTGTGCCCAGCAGGTTCTGGCCTCAAGGCTTTCTTACGTTTCACTGTTTCCTCTGACTGGAATGCCCTTCTCCAATATTCCATGACTGGCTTCTTAACTGTATTCAGATGTCCCATTCTCAGAAAAGTCTCCCTTCTCTGTGAAACCTAGCAGCTTTCATCATTTTCTATCCTCTTATCCTGCTGTATTTTTCTTCATAGTACATATTATTTTATTTCTGTTTTATATAATCTACTAATGTATGGTCCCTACTATCAGGGACTTTCTTTTTCACTACTGTGCCTTTAACACCCAGAAGAGGGCCTCACATATAAAAGAAATGCAAATGTTTGTTGAATAAATAAGTTAGTAAGACTTGAAAATGCTTGTTAGTCACAGTATGATTCTCAAGGGCCAACAAAATACACATTCTACCTTTTAGTTTGCTACCTTGCAAACTAAATTGTTTCCAAGACCTGTTATATTTCCTCACATTACTGGTCCCCATATTTATCACAGCTCCTTCCTGACCTTAGTCTGACCCACAGTTTATATGTAAATCCTACTACGTTTGCACTCACTGGAAAAATCATCATAGAATTGGTTTTCATGCTCATTAAATATTTTGGAGTTTGTTTTTATAATGGCACATTCTGCTTTCACCACCAGTTCAATCTGTCCTCTCCTTTTACGATGGCCCTTGGAGTAGAGGGAATATGGTGGCAGCAGCTCAGGATGGGTCTGCTTCCTGAATGTCACGTGAGTAGGCTCTTTCCCAAGCCTTGTCTACACCGTGGCCACATCAGAGCGCTAAGGTATAAAACATACTCTTCTGCTGGTCTGTGTCTGATAAGACTCATTAATAGGGGCACTTAGAAGGAGACGGTGTTTGCCTTCAGTCATCCCTTCTCTGTATTAATTTCATCCTTCTCTTGGAGCTTTTACCTGTTTCAAGTGCTCCTTCATGGGCTTATGGACCATTAACCTATAAAATCTTGGTTCTATTCTCCCTGATTGCCACCCTCTTCTTCTTATCTTGTTATCATGAGTACTGTTGCCAAAGTACTAAGGAAATAGGTTGACTCTGCTCAGTCATTCTTTTTCTGTTACAATTTTTTGTTGTTGTTTGTTTGGCCTAGCCATCACCTTAGCAAATGGTCTAACTTGTTCTCTATGGGATATGTGACACATATTAGGTACATCCATAGGACAGAGTTCAGGTATGTAGATATACATCATTCTTTGATGTAAGAAACTGGAAATATGCCCTAACCCCAACATATACGCTCACAAACCCTGTGTGGTTGAAAATTTATTTAATTTTTAAAGTTACAATTAAGGCAATATTAATTTCATTGTTGATGGTTGATAGTTATGAGGACCTTGTAAAAGAAGAACAACTGATAAAAGCTTTCTTGACTTTAATCCTAAATATAGAACCAGCAATTTAAATGTAACTTACAGTTACAAAACAGTTTTGGTTTATACTCTAAAAACTGTGGCACAGTGACATAGAAATAGAATAAACCATATAAAAATTGAGTTTTCAGAATAAAAAAATCTAAACTTCAGATTTTTAGAGGAGGCAACTCCCTTTACTATGGCAGAAACCTCCCCCCCCCAAAAAAAAAACAAAAAACCCACAGTAGTTTATACTGAGAATAAATAGTAACTGGTTCAAAGAAAATTAAACTTTTAAATTTGACTTTCTTGTTAATTTGGTTAGTAAATGTGGTTTATATAGTCAGCATTTATTTTTCCTACACTGAACATTTTAATAGAATGCAATTTAAAATCTTCTAAACTTGAAGAATTATCTGTTATGGCATAAGCAAAATAATTAAGTCAAGATGGAAAGGGTCTTATCTGAAAAAAATACTGAGTTACCTCTAAAATAACGTTAATATGTGGTTTTTAATCTCAGGAATGACCGGATAACTCAAATAAATAATCATTTTCACTTTTATAAGGCTGCAGATATAGCACTGTTTAGTACATTCTTTTAACGTTTAAATATATTAAAATCCTTGCCTTCCATTGAGGGCTGAGTTGTCAAAATCTGGAAAGTTAGTGAACTCTCAGTCATTGCACTTACTTGATCTCTTCCTGATTTATGTGATGTCATGTGACGTTCAAGTTGGGTTCTGTATGCAAAGGTGTAACTGCACAGGGAGCAACTAAAGTTATCTTCGTTCTTTTCATGACGATATTTAATGTGTTCTTTCAGAGAGGTAAAGCGTTTATAGCCTCTATCACAATATGGACAGGTGAGTAACTGTGAAAATGCATCTGGTGTTCCTGTAAAAGAAAGATCATATATTTTAAACTTAAAACATTCAAAATATATTACCAAAGTTTCCACTGACTCCCTATGCTATGTTCCAGATATTGTGCTACCCATTTGATCCTCAAAACAATACAATGATACTCACCTCTATTTTATAAGAGAGAGAACACTGGTGCCCAGGAAGGCTAAATAACTTAAAAGTCACAGAGCCAGAAAATGATGAAGTCAGGGTTCAGATACGGGCTCTCTGACCTTCAAGTCCCATATTTTTCCCTAAACCATAATTCTTCCCTTTTGTCATGTGATTAGCCAGAAAAGAAAACAAAAGTAAAATTAGAATGTAGGTTGCCTTTGTAAGTGTATACAGATTAAAGGGGAATTGTGCTCTACAACAGGGTCTACTGGTAACAATGGTATGTATCATTATTTATTTAAGGTTTATTCCTCTGATTTTGAAAATGAAACTACCAAGTCATTATCATCAAAGAGGAAACAGTACACAGACTGTTTCCAAGAGCCCCTTGCAGGTAGGTGTGGCCACAGGACTGAGTTCAGACCAAAAAGGAAGTGTGTAAGGTGGGAAAGGAAAGACTGATGGGGGCCAGATCTAGGCCTGCTACATAAACACATCCCATGCATGACCCTGCTTATAATTTCCCCTATTGAAATACATTGGCAAATCTGCTATATAACTGTATATGTATGAATATATATAGCTTTTAGAAAACAAAGGCATTCTGAATAGAGTTTACTGAATGAACTTTATTTTTACACTTGGAGCTGTCTAAGCCTGACAATCCTAAAATGTAGTGTTTTGCCAATTAATACTATTTAACTAAGAGTAGTTTTCCATATTTGATATTTCTTCAATGAAATAAGTTACTAAGTGATATCTTTTTGTAAATATCATCTCTATTTTCATTTTGAATTCACTATAGAAAAACAAACCGCCAAAGATAATTTCATAAAATCTCCAAGTGCTTTCTAAACATATACTCCTTTATTAAGTCCATATAAATCAAATGTCTTGCTCAAGGACCAGCTAGCAAATAATAGACTGAGCACCTGAACATTAAACAGTTGGTCAAACATGTTGAGAGAGGGGCTTCAAGATGGCTCAATAGAGGCATCTAGTACTCACCTTCTCTACAAGGAAAAACCAAAATAATGAGTAGATAATCACACTTCACATAGATCATCTAAGAGAGAACACTGGAATTCAACAGAAAAGTGACAGGAAACACCTCAAGTAAGGAAGAAGGAAGTGAAGCAACCTGCAAAGGCTCTCCAATGCAGGGAAAGAGTAAGTGAGAGACCCCCAGGGGTCCACATTCCCACTATGGACTCCTGCAGTCCTAGCCATGGGAGACCCCTTGACCATTGTGGGCTCTGAGACTAACACAGGGAGGTACCCGGAGGCCACATGACAATGCTGCTCCGGAGAGGGAGCTTATGCTGAATCTGTATATCCCCTTAGTTCTAAGTAGCTACAGCACAGCACTATTTTGAGAGCCCAACCCCCAGCAGACTACAACCTGTTCTGGGACCCAACAGCTCCTTCATCTTCACATGCCTGGAGCCCCTGACATACCTCCCTTCACAGCCACCACTGACGCTGGTTGCGGCTGCTAAGGCTGAAGTGCAAACCATTGAAAGTGACCATATTTCCCCCCAGCAGAGGAGCTGCAGACATTTTTACATGCCCTGAGGACAGACTTCCCAACAGACTGCTGCCACTGCGAGCTTCCACCACTGGGGACAAAGTGCTAGCCACTGGCAGTGACCTCAATTTCCTCAGCAGTTGAGCTGCCATGCATTTATAAGGGACCTGAGGACAGGCTACCCCATCACAGCTGCTGTCTGGGGCTAAAGCACACATTTCCCAGCTCCCTCCCTATGGCTGCTGCCACTGAGAGCAACCTTGCCCTCCCCAGTAGGAAGGCTACGTGCAAACACTGATGTCCTTACCTGAGCACTCTGCTGGTGGCCTGGGATCATCCTGCCCCTGCCATGATAGCCAGTGCCTACACACACCACCAAGGGGCCTGAGGACAAGTCCATCTGGCCCAGCTTACCTCCTCCCCAGTTTCCGAGGCTATTCAGGGACCTGGGGGATCACCCAGCCCAGTCCAACACTGTTGCCACCTGAACACTCCTCCTGGAGGCCTGAGGTTGGCTCCACCCAACTTGCTACTATCACCACAGCTGGCATCCTCCTGCATGCACCACCAATAGGCTTGGGGACTGACTCACCCAGCCCATTGCAGTCACTGCCAACACCAGCATGAATCACTAGGGAACCAGGGGGTTGTCCTGCCACTGCTACTGCCATTGACCAAGTGACATGCACTGCCCAGGAGCCTGAGAACCTGCCTACCTGCCCCGCTTAGCACTGCCACTAGCAGCACCCAAGCAAGCCACCTGGAGGTCCAAGGATCAGCCCACCTGGACTTGCTAACACAAGGTGTCAGTAAGCCACCCTGTGGTCTAAGGACAGGTACCATAGGCCCGTTACTACCACGACTAGGACCCAAGGAATGTTCCACCTGGCATCCCTGTCCCAGCCAAACTTCACCTCAGCCTCCACTAACAATTGCACCATAAGCCAACAAGGAAATCACAGACCCTACTCACACTACTTATAATCAGATATATCACACAGAAATTACACTACCACATATACCCAGAATCAAAGCCAAAGTGCCCTACTCAACCAACGAAAGCAAATCCAAAAAACTAGAATAACTGACTATTATACCAGATGTGTAGATATCAAGGTAAGAACATAAGAAACATGAAAAAGGAAAGAAAATGACAGCTCTAAAAATACAGTAATTATCCAGCAACAGATTCTAATCAAAATAAATTTATGAAATCCTGGGAAAAGATTCAAAATAATGATCTTATAAAAGCTAAGTGAGATACAAGAAAACACAGAAAAGCAACACAAAGTAACCAGAAAAACAAATCAGGATATGAATGAGAAATTTACCAAAGAGGTAAGTTTCATAAAAAAGAACTAAACAAATTCTGGAATAGAAGAATTCATTGAATGAAAGACAAAAGATATCTGAAAGCTTCAGCAATAGACTAGGTCAGGCAGAAGAAGAATTTTAGAACTTGAAGACAGGTCTTTTAAAATAACCTAGTAAGAGAAAAAGAGAATTAAAAAAATGAACAAAGCCTGCATGACAGTAAGAAACTATAAAGCAACCAAATACTCCAATTTTTGATGTGTTATAAGGCAAAGAGGAAACAAAAGGGATAGAAAACCTATTTAATGAAATAATAGCCAAAAACTTCCCAAGTCTAGCAAAGGATTTAGACATCCAGATACAGAAAGCTCAGTGAATCCCCAAACAGATACAATTCAAAAAGATTTTCTCCATGGCACATTATATTCACTGTCAAAATAAAAGACAAAGAGAGATTCTAAAAACAAGAGAAAAGTGTCCGATCACTTGTAAGGGAACCTCCATATGACTAACAGCAGTTTAGCAGCAGAAACTTTATAGCCTAGGAGAGAAAGAAATGATATATTTGTTCAAAGTATTGAAAGAAAAAAACCCTGCCAGCCAAGAATCTCATACCCAGAAAAATTATCCTTCATAAATGAAAGAGAAATAAAGTCTTTCCTAAACAAGTAAAAGCTGAGAGAATTCATGACCACTAGACTGGCCCTACAAGAAATGTTTAAGGGAGTCTTATCCCTGGAAGTGACAGGAAAATATCTACCATAATGAAAACACATGAAAATATAAAACCCACTGGTAGAGTAAGTACAAATAAGAAAGAGAAAGAACTCAAATGTTACTACTACAGAAAACTACCAAACCACAATAATAATCAGTAAGAAAGGAACAAATGATATACAAAACAACCAGAAATAAAAATAAAATGACAGAAATAGGCTCTAACATATCAATAATAATAACCTAAATGGATTAAATTTTCCACTTAAAAGATACAGATTGGCTGAATGGATAAAAACTATAACCCAGCTATGTGCTGCCTACAAGAAATTCATCTCACCTGTAAAGATACATATAGAGTGGGTAAAGGGACAGAAAAAGATGTCCATGCAAATGGAAACCATAGTGAGCAATAGTAGCCATAATGAGATAAACTCCTAAATCCAGTAAACAAAACAGTGTAAGGGGACAAAGAAGGTCATTAAATAACGACAAAAGAATCAATTCAGTAAGAAGATATAACAATTCTTAACATATATGCACCCAACACTGAAGCACCTACTTATATAAAGAAAATATTATTAGATCTAAAGGGAGAGAGACTCTAATACAATAATAGTTAGGGACTTCAACACCCCTATCAGCATTAGACAGATCATGTAGAAAGACACTTAACAAAGAAACACTGAATTTAAACTGCATTTTATACCAAATGGACCTGAGACATTTACAGAACATTTCAACCAACTAAAGGATACACATTCTTCTCATCAACATACAGAACATACTCTAGACTGTATGTTGGGACACATGACAAGTCTCAAACAAATTTTTAAAAACCAAAATCATATCAAGTAGCTTTAGACCACAAAGTAAAACACCTATAGATTTTAATAATAAGAGGAACTTTGGAAACTCTACGCACACATGAAAATTAAACAACATGCTTCTGAATAACCACTGGGTCAAGGAAGAAATAAGGAGGAAATTTTAAAATTTCTTTAAATGAAATTAAAATTAAAATTTATTTAAATGAAAATGAAAATCAAAACAGAACATACCAAAACCTATGAAATATAGCAAAAGCACTACTAAGAGGAAGTATATAGCAATAAATACCTCCATCAAAAAATAGAAACATTTCAAATAAATAATCTAATAATGTGCCTCAAGAACCTAGAAAAGCAAGAACAAAGCAAACCTTAAGTTAGTAGAAGGAAAGAAATAATAACAATCAGAACAAAATAAATGAAATGGAGACTAAAAAACAACACAAAGAACAAAACAAAAAGTTGGTTTTTTGAAAAGGTAACAAAACTGATAAACCACTAGCTAGACTAGAAAAGAACAGAGAAGATGCAAATAAAAAATGAAAAAGAAGACTTACAAATGAAACCACAGAAATACAAAAGAGACAATTATGAACAACTATACATGAAAGAACTGAAAAACCTAGAGGATATGGATATTCTGGACACAGACAGCTACCAAGATTAAATTCGAAAGAAACAGAAAACCTGAACAGACCAATAATGAGTAATGAGATTGAATCCATAATGAGTATCTCCCAACAAAGTAAAGTCCAGGACTGGAGGGGTTCACTGCTGAATTCTACCAAACTATCAAAGAAGAACTAACACTAGTTCTCCTCAAACTATTCCAAAAAATTGAAGAGGAGGGAATTCCCCCTAATTCATTCTGTAAGTCCAGCACTATCTTGATACCAAAACCAGAGAAAGATGAAACAAAAAAGGAAAACTATCCAGGTTAATATCCCTGATGACAATAGACACAAAATCCTCAACAAAATATTCACGAACTAAATCTAACAGCACGTCAAAAAGATAATGCAATATGATCAAGTGGGATTTATCCCATGGATGCAAAAATGGTTCACCTGCATATACTGAAGGCCATATATGACAGAACCACAGCTAACTTCATACTGCATGGAACAAGCTGACAGACTTCCCTCTAAGAAGTGTAATCAGAAAAGGATTTCCATTCCTTCACCACTCCTACTCAATACAGTATTGGAAGTCTTAGCCAGAGCAATTGGGCAAGAGAAAGAAATAAAAGGCATCCAATTTGGAAAAGATGTCTAACAGTCTCTCTTTGCAGACTATATGATCTAATATCTAGAAAAACCTAAAGACATGACCAAAAAACTCTGCAATCTGCTAAATAAATTGAAAGTTGCAGGATACAAAAATCAACATAAAAAATCAACAGTGTTTCCATACACCAGTAATGAACTAGACAAAAAATAAATCCAGAAGACCATCTCATTTATAGTAGCTACAAAAAAGTAAAATACCTAGGGATAAATTTACCCAAGGTGGTGAAAGACCTCTTCAAGGAAAACTACAAAATATTGATGAAAGAAACTGAAAAAGACACAAGTAAATGGAAAGATCAGAATTAATTAAAATTCTGATCTCATGGATCAGAATTAATTAAAATGATCATATTGCCCAGAGCAATCTACAGATTCAATCCAATCCCTATCAAAATATCTATGTCATTTGTCACAGAAGTAGAAAAAACAAACCTAAATTTTTTATGTAACCACAAAAGAACAATATAGCCAAAGCAATCCTGAGCAAAAAGAACAAAGCTGGAGACATTGCACTACCTGACTTCAAAATATAATACAAGGTACAGTAACCAAAACAGCATGGTATTAGTATAAAACAGATACACAGACCAGTGGAAGAGAACAGAGAACCCAGAATTAAATCCACATTATTAACAGCCATTTGATTCCGACAAAGGCACCAAAAACTTACACTGGGAAAAGGACATACTCTCCAATAAATGGTGCTGGGAAAACTGAATATTAACATGTGAAGAATGAAACTGGAGTCCCATCTCCACCACATACAAAAATCAACTCAAGACCAATGAAAGACTTAAACATAAGACACAACACCATAAAACTACTAGAAGAAAACACACAGAAAACACTCAGGACATTGGGGTAGGCAAAGATTTTATTGCTAAGATCTCCAAAGCACAGGCAACAAAAACATTTGACAAATGGGACTATATTAAACTAAAAAGCTTTTGCACAGCAAAGGAAACAACAGAGTGAATATCTGCAAACTACTCATCTGACAAGGGACTAATATGAAGAATATATAAACTACTCAACAGATTAAGAAAACTCAAATAATCCTATTGAAAAGCAGGCAAAGGACATGAATAAACATTTCTCAAAGGAAGACATACAAATGGCCACAGATATATGAAAAAATGCTCACCATCACTAATCATTAGAGAAATGCAAATCAAAACCACAATAATAAATCATTTCATCCCAGTTAGAATTGCTATTAAAGACAAAAACTAATGAATGCCAGTGAAGATGTGGAGAAAAGGGAACTTTTATATATTATTGGTGGGAATGAAAATTAGGACAGTCACTGTGAAAACAGTATGGAGATTTCACAAAAAAACTAAAAATAGAACTATTATATGATCCAGCAATTCCGCTACTGGGTATTTATCCAAGGGAAGTCAGTATATCAAAGAGATGCCTGGATCTCCATGCTTATTACAGTACTATTCACAACAGCAAAGATATGGAATTAACCTCAGTGTCCATCAATGGATGAAGACAATGTGGCATATATGCACAATTTAATACTATTTGGTTATAAAAAGGAATAAATATGTAAACAAATGTTGTGGATATGACAGAATACTTCAAAATGCTTTATTAGCATTTAATTAGATTACACTGAATATCTGAAAGTAATGAATAACAAAATCAACAACTAATTCTATAATTCAAACTGTTTACTAATTCAGAATGGTAGTTCCTCAATTTTTAGATTGTACTGTGTGGACTTGACGAACTTTAAAAGGTTTAACCTTTATTAGAACTACATAATGGATCATTTCTTTAGATTTCATTGTTTCCTTTCAGTGAGGCTTTTTGAAAGCCTTTAGTCACATAAAAATTTTACACAAATACATATATATTTTTAAATTTTGTATTTCCCTTTCAATTCTTTGATAACCTACTTTCTTCTGGTGAACAATAACATAGTCTTTTCCTCCAAAACTGTAACACAGCCTATTTCTTCTCAGGAGAGTCTGAACACATTTTTATTGCATTTTCCACACTCTGTACACTGACTATTCGTATCAGAGTGGAATAAGGCAGATTCAGAAAAACCACTGTCTCCAAATTAGTATGTTCTTGTACAAAGCAGGCAACCATATTTTTATTTGCTACAAGAAGAGTGGGAAAGAATCAAAGGGCAGTAAGGGTTATTCTAGTTCTCGCTTCTACTGCCTACTGCCATGTAAGTATATGGAATTTGATGTCCAGACACTGTTCTAAGCATTTCATATGCAGTGGCATTACTACCACAATACATGAGCAGCTAATAATTTATTACTGTGTGGTCACCATAGTGTTCCATTAATGAAACGGACTGCTCTCTATAGGCACCTGTAATAAAGTCTGGTCCTCAAGAATGTTCCCAATAGTAGAGCAAGTTCCCATAGTAGAATGGTAGAAACAACAATCCTTTAAACAGGGAAAGAAACACAGTTGTTAAGATCCATTTACCATTTTCATCATGACCACTGGCTTCTGGTGTACCCTGCCTCTGGTCCTCTTCAGGTGCCTCAGGAAAAATGACAGCAGTGTCTTGTTGTTGCAGAAACTCTTCAACATTAGGATCATGGTTTTGCTCATTTTCTGCATCTGACTCGCATTCATCATCTTTTACTAAAAAAAAAAGCATACTTTTAAGAAAGCAATCTCACCACTAAGTTATTACAAAGGTTTTCTAAATAAGAAATTATTTATGTTGAGAGAACATGTGATTGTTCTTGAATCTGCAGAAAATATTTCTTGAAAATTAAAAATGAATTCCACTCATTTTGTAATCTACTAAGATATCTCTTTGTAAGTTTAAAGTGTTATAAATGTGTGAAATTCTCACAGTATCCCTTTTAAATGTTAAAGTCATACTTCTATTGCATTTTACTAATAAAACACAGAGAAGGCAATATAGTTGACTGAATTATTTCTCAATTAATGATAAAGCAAGAAAAAAACTTTAGTTCTCAAAGGTCACCTTCTTAGCAACCTATCATATCACAATATTTATTTAAAGTTGGACAATAGACAGCCCCTTATCTGTGGCTTCATTTTCCATGATTTCAGTTACCTGTGATCAGCTGCAATCTGAAATCAGGTAAACACAGTACAAGAATAATAATCTGAGAGAGAGCGAGGGAGACCACATTCATATACCTTTTATTACAGCATATTGTTATAACCATATTTTATTATTAGTTTGTTGCAATCTCTGTATAAAATTTATAAATTAAACTTTATCATAGGTATGTATGTATAGGAAACAGTATTTATTTCAGACACTTGATGGGGAGTCTTGGAATTTATCCTCCATAGATAATGGTAGGGGGGGACTGTACTTTAAATCTGAATCATTCTCACATAAACCATTCTGACATTCAGTTCAGTTATATGATTTCTTAGAACATAGTTTTTAATAATTACCTATAGTTAGAAGGATTTCTAATAAGCATCAAAGGGTATCAAATCTATGAAAACTGTTTCTTAGCTAAACTAGTATTCATATAAAACAAGGCTATTCTTTCTTTATTTCTGCCTCAGTAAATATTTAACTGTGGGATTAAGGCAGAGGCAACTTCTCTTGAATTAGAAAGGCTTATGCTTTGAGAAGGTAGCCCAGAGTGCTGCCAAGTTTCTACAGCAGTATTGCTGTACTACGGTTTTCCTCCATTTCCTCCACTGGCTCCAGAGGAGGGCCTCTACTCCATGCTGGTAACTGCAGCGCCTTAGTATGGCTCCCAAATGCGGCAGGGATGACTTCTTTATAGACTCTGACTGAACTGTCAGGTCTAAACTTGTAAAACAGCACTTCCCAGCAGGCTGACATTTGGCCAAATTAAAATGGGGATATATGGGCATCTGTTTGTTTGATGGTTATTAAAACAATCTTGCTAAATCTCCTGCACCGTAGTGGTAACTGAACTCATCAGGGTGACTGCTGTTTAAAACCTGAGAACCAACGACAGTAACAAATGGTGACTGTAATTTTTTTCCCTACTTCTCAATAGCTATCAATTATTTAACATTTGCTACATACCAAGAACTGCATTATTTAGTTCATGTCAGTAGTTACCAAACTGGGATTACTGGATCCAGAGGTAAGTGAAGACTTTTAAAAGGTAAGCTGGACTGTTGGTTTTAAAGGAATCAACTCCCAGATCCTCAACTTCCATGTAAACTCTTTTCTAGCATCCTTGAAAGTTCTTCTCCCTGCTCTCCCTTTTTCACAGTATCCCTTGTTCTTTCTTAAAAGAAAAAAAGAGAAAAGGCATATTCCTCTATCCAATCATGACATGATTATGGTACACTGCTTGGAGTGTCAAGTCCTCCTGGGTGCCAAAGGAGTAAAGTTCAAAATACTGATTAGGGAAAGCCTTCTTTACTGACAAATAAAGGCAACATAGAATCACTATAGGTTTTCTGGTCTTCCCTGTTTACATGAATTTCTATTAGGCATAAAGCACAACTGAAATGGGGGTATACTGGTCCTGGTTGGGACGCCGAAATTAACTATATAATATGACCAGAGGGAGTGAGGGTAATCTTCTCTTAATGACCCTAACTATTATTTAAAAATTCATTGCTCTTCAGGAGACTGATAAGAGCAAAGCAAATAATATTCTCAAACATCATTCCTAGGATTTGTCATTAGGTAGAACAATAAGCAGTTCTGAAGAGCCAAAGCAGAACAAATCAGTGGCATTCTTTTCAAAGCAACTTCAATTTCTTAAATTTAAACTAGATAAAAGTCATAAATGATATTGACATATTATGTGATTTCTTACAGATTCCATGTTGAGTTGCTAAGAGTTAAAATTATTTTTATCAAATTATATAAAATATTTATTTCAATTAAGCAATCTCCATCTTATATTTTCTACATCCTAATAAAAATTATAAGTGTGCTAGCTGTTGGAATTAGTTTTTAAATAGTATACACTTTTCAGAACTGCATGATCTGTATTTTATATATGAATTTTGCTACTTCAATAAATTCTAGCTTTCCTATACATTGATTAGGTCTAAAGGTACACAGTTGGAGATGAAGATTTTTTTAACATACAAATTAGATTAGATCTATATAATCTTAATCTTGACTTTACTACTTAGTATTAGTATAAGATGTATTTACTTATACTTTATGTTTTCTTCATTATTAATAATTTCTTTTTTTTTTTTTTGAGACTGAGTTTCACTCTTGTCGCCCAGGCTGGAGTGCAATGGTGCAATCTTGGCTCACGGCAACCTCCACCTCCTGGGTCCAAGCGATTCTCCTGCCTCAGCCTCCCAAGTAGCTGGGATTACAAGCGTGCACCACCAAACCTGGCTAATTTTTGTATTTTAAATATATCCTTCATACACTTCCTTATTGATGAGATTTTTATAAAATTCCTCAAAATATGTATTGTCACACTGAGTTCAAAAAATTAAAAATGCTTTTTTTCCTGACTGAAAGTAAGTCTGAATTGTCTGGCTGGTGTGATGTTGATAACTGGCTTTGCTGGGTAGATTATTGGAAATTTTCCAGAAATCGGGTTAACTAATAAGGTATTGCTCAAAATACAGTTCACATAATAAAAGTGTTTTTCATGAAAAATATACTGGTAAAAGATACTTAAATTAACCATATTTCAGTTTCCTCAATCATTTCTAAATACATTAAACAAAGTGACTGTGAGAAAAAAAAATTTTTAAAGCCCAAAACAGATATCATTAGTCCTTTGATAAATAACTATTGGTAAAGTCTTTCTGGTATATGTCCCAGAAAATGAGGGAATAGATGATTGTAATGACTGGGAAATAAATCTTTTTGCAAGTTAGATGGCTTTAAATTTTGGTTTTCAACAAAATTGAAGAAATAGTTAATCAAAGTATAAGCTGACAGGACATTAAAATATTTTCATTGACAAATAACTTTTGACATTATGTCTGAAGACATATAAAAACTGAGCAACTCAGTTATAACAAAATTTTACTTCATCTTTTAATTTGAGAATAAAGGTACCTCAATGCTAAAAAAATAGAAACCAAATGATGAACACTTTTCCTTCTAGAAATAATATTAAGCTATTACAATTAATTACTATTTATGAAGTAATTTTAAAAATTAGCTCCTTTAATCTCATTTCTAGTAATGTTTTTCTTTAATAATTAAAATTTAAAATATACTTATGTTGTGATCAACTATGAACTACTAACAATTAAATGATAAATCCCTGAATTTTCTAAAAAACAAGATCCTTGTGGTCCCTGGAAATTAAAAAGAAATTTTAATTTATACACATATTTTTCTTGTAAAGAAATACGATAGTTGATCAAAAATACCTTCAAACAGGAAATATATATTGGCATAAAATTCTATTAGTGTATATAGAATGGAAATATGAGCTCAAAAAGTAAACATTATGACCTAACATTTCTTACTCTTAAAGAGCATTTTCATATTTTTAAAAAAACGATAATAGGTATTAATATACTATGGGTTTCATATGTAATAGTGATGTTAAAATGTCAATGTTTTATGATGCCAAAAATTAAATTGTAACTACTGACATTTAAAATGAAAAATTTTATATGTCCATTAAGAAATTTGTGAGGCAGTATATAATCAGTTTATATCCTATAAAATTTATATACAGTACCTCTTAGGTTGTTGTGAGAATTAAACTAATTAATACATTAATGTACTTATTAGGAGGGTACCTGGTATGTAGTAAGTACTATGGAATTGTTAGCTATTTACGCCTTAAAGAAGTCTTGCAAGGTGAACATAATTTTGCAATTAAAATTTTTCTCAATAAAAAAATTAGGGTCAGAAAAAGTTTTCTGAGATCACAGAGAGCAAATGTATTACTGTTAGAGCAGACAAGTTGGTATTAGGTGTCAGGTATAAAATCTGAGCTCTTTCTATTAAACTACACTCTATCTCCATGAACCCACATTTACCAGGCCCAATTTCAAACTGAGACCAGAATTTCTGCAGCTTTTTAAAATTTAAAGTGTTGGGAAATGCACATCTTGAAAAGGTCAATTATAAATGTCCTGGTCTTTAGATGATAAACGTATATATTTAAATATTAGGGAGATGAGCAAATATACAGAGCATAAAAGGGTAATTGGGTTTTCTTTAAATATGACAAAACTCAAAATTGACAATCAAAGTATAGAATTAAATGACTATATACGTGTATTTGAGAGAGCAAATATTTAATATAAACACTAAATATTTTTAAATCAATCAATCAATTTTTCCATCCTGAATAAAGCGTCCTCAGGCTTCCTCTTATCCTCCATGTTTGAAACTTTCTAAAATTATCAACTATATAAACAAAAAAATGGATGCTCAGAAGGAACAAAGGATGTTTTAAATGAATTTTTTACTCTGAATACTAACTTCAGACTATAGTTCCTTAACTTCACGAGCTGCAAAATGAAGTCTGCTATAACAAAGATCCGACAACGTTCTGAACTAATGATGGCGACCGCTGTACAATGTTTTTACTCATTTTGTCAGCATATTATTCCCTAGAAGTCAAGAAAGTAACAAAAGCAAAGTCATGATGTAATTTTACAGTTTAACTGCTCAAAAGTCTCAAAAGTTAAATTTCCTTTTAAAGCTACACTCACTGGAGCTTTAATGGAAGTTTGCTTACTCCTAACTCCCCATGTTCCAGGTGAATAATGCAGCAGGGATCATCATTGTGTACATGGGGGAGATTTTACATTCCAGCAGCAACTTTTGTTAAACACAAATTTGAGAAGGTTACTCTGCCTTTCAGATGCAATTTTTTTTTGAGGAAATTTACATACTATTCAGTACTTCAAACTGAAAGAATTCATTTATTTTTATAGTGAAGAACAGCTTGACAGATAAAATACTGTAAACCTGTGAGTATCTTTTTGGATAGCATTTTACCTAGAAGGGCAAGTAGTCTTCTGTAACTCTGGTAATATAAGTCATCAAAGTTTAATAACACTAGGTAAAAGTAAATTGTGTACTCTTATGTTTATTAGCATTACTGTATTACTACTAACAAATGTCCAGCTTAAATATTTTACATATTCTATAATTTAGCATTGCAAATATATGATAACAAGCATAGCTGAAAAAATTATTCATGCAAGTTACACAGAACCAAGTTAGGGGCAAAACATAAAATTGTAGGCTATAGGCACCACAAATTATCACATACTCCATTATTATTTAATTAACCTGGAATTCACTTTTAATAACAGCACAAAGATTTACTCTGTTTTACAGCAATGACTGACAAGTATAGGAGTGCTATTGTTTATATTATGAATAAAAATCTAATCTTGACACTTTTAGGCCATGAACCGTACCTCATCTTACCTAATGAAAGATAAAATTTGTAAGCCTTTATGGAATATTCCTAAAATGCACAGCAAAGTAAAAAACAAATCTATAGATGATAACTCACAGAAGAGAAGGAAAAAGAAAATGTAATGAAAACTATATGACAGAAATATCTAATTTATGGTTGAATATACAAAGTACAATTATACTACGTTTAAGTATAATATTGTGAGGAAATGTTTTAATAATCTGGAATTCATTTTTGAAGTTTACATTTTAACAGTTCTGGCTCTACTAGGGAACACAATAAAAAGTGACTGGTATTATTATACATAAGATCTGATTTAATTTTTCCACTTACTCTTTTGCTTCTTAAATCTGATCTGAATCCATTACAGAGGAATAACCTTAAGTCTCAGGGAGTATGTACTTTTTAGTCACCTAAAAGCAAATTTCCTTGTTTACTATAATTCAACTTCATTTTACCCTTTTTCAATCACAGAAAATTTAAGAAACATTTTTGATTCTCGTTTGCTGCGACATGTTCACTCAACTCATTAATATTCATGATTCTTATCTGATTTATAGATAATCCATATTTGCTTTTTCTATTTTCTTCTGCTTTTTGTCTTGTGGGCAATTCAAAGCAGACCCAGGTAACTAATAATGAAACTCAAAAGTTAGATCTGCATTTCTCTAACTTTGGTCAAAAACTTGACAGAAGTTCAAATCATCTTTCAAACACGTATTTTTTGGATTATCTGTAGGTTATACTCGTCATTCTTATAGAACAGAAAAATCTGCTACGTAATATGAATCTGTAAGTTACTCTGTATTTAAGGAATATTTACTTCTTTTTATGTAGTGCATCACACGCCTAAGTACTTAAACATTTAAGGAAGGTAAGATAAAAGAGAAGGAAACGGACTAGATTCAGGACTCACAAATGCGAAATCAGTGACACAAAAGACCTTCTTTTAAAGGCTATGGTATGAAAGTAAGCTGCAGCAGAGTACCTGTACATCCTGCTTCATCTGCCTGAGCTTCAGGCCCCAGGATTTCTTGCCCTTCCTTTCCTGCTGAAATCAAAGAAGAAGAAATTAAAATAGATCTATAGTGTTCCTAATACAAATGAAAGACACATGTTTAAAGTTTTGGACATCCCAATTACTCTGATCTGATCATTACACATTGTATACATATATCAAAATATCACATGTACTCCCCAAATATATATAGCTATTATATATCAATAAAAAATTAAAAAAATAAATCCAGGTATCACAAACATTTTAACTTCCCAAAATCTGAAAAGGAAACTTTCAGTACAGATTATATTTAATTTGAATTTTTTCCTTTTATGAATATGGTAATGTGTCCTTGAAAAGTAAAGCTGTTTAAATAAATTAAGTGGACAGTCTTATCACAAAAATATCTTAGAGAAGTAAAAGCAGTACAGATTTAGAGAATCTGGAATTATACATATTTTAGGATTATAAGCAAATTGGAATTTTAGTATTATTTTGGTAAAAGAGCTCTACCTATAGATGGTAGAATTATATATTTTTATTTCTTCTCTAAAGCACAAATTCTATGTTCTAGGCACTGTGCTAGTTAACTTACTTCTTTTAAGCTTTGTAACAACATATTTTATAAGTTAAAAAACTTGAGGCTTGGAGAAGTTAAATAACTTGCCCATAGACACACAACTATTAGGTGGTAGAAATGAAATATAAATGCAGGTCTGATTGACTTCAAAGCCCACTTTCCATCACACTCTTGCTCATTTAACTAGGGTACCAGAAAACTAGAAAGAAGACTGGACCAAACGTTACTGTGCCCAAAGTAAACACCTAAGGCATTATGCTTTTTCTTTCACTTTATTCATTATTCTACTACATATGTTGATATGTAGTAATCAACAATATAGTGCTACTAACAAATATTTTTAGATATCTGTCATCTTCCCTTGCTACTTCTACATTTATAGTGGGCTATCTGTAGCATTTCATACAGCACAGGTTCAGAATAAACATTTTGTATGATAAACAAATGCATACTTTCTGGACAAGAAGTATGTTTTATATTTTCAGGTACATTTTATTTATTATAATAGTGTATTAAGAACACGTGCATATATGAAAGGCATGAAGAAGTTAAAAACTGTTCTTTTTCTAACTAGTAGCAGAGCATATGTCATAATTATGATCAGAATACTTATACGGTCACACCAAAATAGTATACTTATCTGCACCCTAATCAAATTGCACTGAATATGTCCATCAAAAGTCTTGATTTAAATTTCTTTTAGGTTTGGTTGTTAAATTGAGAAATAGAGCACTAATCAAGTAAAATCTTTGCATCGCATTATAGCATGTATTTCCTTTAAGTGCCTTGGGTTATCAGGTGGATTTATTCAGCAGATTTTCTTTACTCATTAACTTTCATACTAGTACTTAAAGATGATCATATAGGAAAAACAGCCAAAATATGCACAAACCTCTTTAGATCAATGTGAAAAACACTGTTTTAAGTAGATAATGATGAGATTAACTTCTGCTGAAGTCTCATTTTATACTTTCCATCAGCAAAATGACAGTTTAAAGATTCTTGGTAAAGTGCTTACAAAGCTGTAGGATAAACATTAATGTTTGCTAAGGGTCTGCAAACCTCTAGCACCCCCTTTTTCTCGCTTCAATGTGTCTCCTTAAACTAAAATAATAAACAGTATGCCAACTGGGTAATTATATGATGGTAATACAGTTATTGATTATTGTATACTTATGTTCCTTATTCTTCTAAAATGAAAATCAAAACAGCCAGAGTTACTACCTGATAAGATGGAATATGACATTGATATCAAAGGTTAAAATGACATTTTTAGACGTTGCTAATTTTTCTACTTATAACTATTTTAGGAACTGCAATTTGATTAATTTATTTGTTTCTTCATTTCTTCATCCTCCCTTGGGATAAATTCTAGGCTCTTTAGATGAGTATTTAACATACTTCAGAATCTACTCCAAGACCTATTTTCCACAATTAAAAACTAGAAGTCTATTTTTTTCCCTCATTATTGAGGCTGGAGTTTTGGTTGAACAACTAAGATCATGGTGCCTAATGAAAACAGAAAACATTCTAATGTTGGCCTTCAGCACTGCAAAAAAATGCTGCCTCGGTATAGGCTCCTTTCTGCATCATCCGTGGACTAGCATGAGTGTGTCTGCAAACAGGCTGTGCTAAGTATTTTTCAAGCAGCAGTATCTCTCATGTGTTCTCATCTTACTTCTGTGTAGGAATTAAAAGGGGTGTAAAGTAACAAAATCAACTTGTACGTATTTTTTTCCTGTAAGACTTAATAATGTCAACAGATTATGACTGGTTAACCTAAATGCAATTTTAAAAAGAACACTAGAATGCTCCTAAGGTTTTTGTTTTTAGTATAAATTCTAAAGCAAATATATAAGTGAGAAAAATGCCTGAGTAATAAGACTTTGTTTTTACAAAACGGAAAATAATGGAAAAAGTTGGCCTAAAAAATAAGTCATGAAATAACTACTCAGCAATAAAAAGGAACGAACTATTGATATAAGCAACAGCTCAGATGAATTTCCAAGAATTGAAAAAAAGCCAGTCTAAAAGGTTACATACTGTATGATTTCATTTATGTAACTTTCTTCAAATAATACGATTGTAAAGATGGAGATTAGTGGTTGCCAGGGGTAAGGAATGGGGCAAGGTAGAGTGACGGGGTGAATATGTAACGGGAAATGAGAGCCTGGTAGTGACAGAACTGCTTTGTATCTTGAGTGTATCAATGTCAATATGCTTGTTGTGACATTATATTATGTTACCATTGGAGGAAACTGGGTAAAGGCTACACAGGATTTCTCTGTATTATTGTGAATCTATCATTAGGTCAAAATAAAAAGTTTAATTAAAAAATAAGTCAAAGGCAAATATTGCAAATTCAGACCAAAAGAACTTATGGCTTGTTCTTTTTAGTCATAAGATGAAATTCCTAGTAAATAAAAACAAGAATGGAAAATGTGATTAATTCTAATAAAAATCCAGAAGACTTTCTATCATTTGCAGGATAGCATAGTTTAAGCTAAAGGACTGGTTATTTAGCATATGTGTTAAATTCAAAAACTTGTGTTTTTTGAAATTCATACCCATGTGTTTCTAACCATTTCAAATGTGTTCATGGGAATATCTTATAGCAACCTCTAAGAAGGCACAGTAATTACCTAACTGAATCAGATTTCCCTTTCCTGGTTTGCCTACTCCTCTTTGATACACATTCACACATGCCAGGCACATTTTACCTGTATAGATACTCCTTGACTTATGATGAGGTTACATCTTGATAAACTCATTATAAATGGAAAATATCATGTCAAAATGCATTTAATACACTGGTACTACTGAACAACATAGTCCAGCCTAGTCTACCTTAAAGGTACTTAGGACAATTACGGTATCCTACAGTTGGGCAAAATCATCTAACATGAAGCCCATTTTATAATAAAGTATTAAAATCTCATATAATTTATTGAACAGTATATTGAAAATGAGAAATGATTTCATAGGTCCTTGGAGTGTGGTTTCTACTGAATACACATTTCTTTCACATCACTGTAAAGTGAAAAGTCTTAAGTCGAAGTTGTAAGTTGGGGACCTTCTCTATACCTTCTCTTTACCTCTCAAGTTGTTCCCTCTGCCTAGAAAGCCATTACCCAGTCCAAATGAGTAACTTCCACAGATTTTTTAAAGGCCAATTCACATCTCTCTCATTCTGTAAGTCGTTGCTGGGCCAGCTTTCTGCTATTCCCACCCTACTGTTCCTGCTAAGGGAAAACTATCAAAAAAGAGAATGCCAACAGATTCCTGAATTCAAACCTAAATGTGTTCAAACTTTAGAGATGAAATGATTCACTGTATACTTTTCTAGATAGTTTCATTTTCCCACTCCTGTATCTTCTAATTTATAATATGTATGTGAATATTTGTGGTATAACTGTCTAGCAAAGTTAAAATGAATATAACTCACAATCTCCATGAATACCCATTACCTTAGATAACGATTAAAAATGTATACCTGAGGTCAGATCCAGCTAAGATGGAGAATGTACAAACTGTTTATGTCTGCTACTGAATCTAGCTAATAAAACCTGGGGATAACGAAGGGAGCAGTTATTTAAAGACTCTAAAGGGTAAGTCACAGCAGGTGGACTGCAGAAGATGACATGACAAGAATTCAGAGTAGCACAGGGTGATTTCCCTTACCTTTTTCTTTCTTCTTTTTTCAAAAGGTACCCCTGGCCCGGATTCAAAGGAGCTTAAAATCTGAAAGTGGGCCCTGGGGCATGGCAGTAAAGGCTCTAGGAGAATCCTTCTAGTTTAGGCTCAAGGAGCAGGAAAAGGCTTAAAGAAGAGAAAAACTGCCCTTTTCTCCTTTATTCTCTTGCATCCTAACCTTCAAGGTAGTAGCAGAAATAATGATGACTGCAAGAATTTAAAACTTTGAGGAAGGGAAAACTTCCTCTCCAGTAGGAGGAGCTGTGGCCCTAAGAGTATAATATAACCTCCACTGAGCTCTTTCTCTGTCTTCTTTCAGCTCTTCCACAGGCACAGATGCAGGAAGTATGTGGCAAAGTAGGGTAAATGAAGTCCCAAAGTTTTGGCTAGAGGACTGAAAAGCAGAGTCTCTAGGAACTCAAAGTACTGAGATTACGAAAGAGAGAGGCTCAGGAAAGTGACCTCATAAGGCTGTTTATGAACTTTTGGGTTTATGCTCAAACTTCTCATATGTGAATCTGATCACAGACTGTGAGAAACTAAGTATGGACAGACAATTACAATCCATGTTCTAGATTGGACCCTAGGTGGTACATGAAGGACAGATCTGAACAGCATTTCAAAGGCTTTGAAAAGTGAACCAGTTGTGGAATCACAAACTATATACTGGCTGGAGATTGCATCCTGAATACAACTGGATAAATTGCCTGTTAAGCAAAAAATATCAAAATTCTCTATAGGATTTAAATAAGACCAAGTATTAGTCTTATTTAACTTA